GTAAAAGGCAGACTGCAACTTGTGGGGGTTGGTTCTTTCCTTCCAACATATAGGTTCCCAGGATTAAACCTGAGTCCTAAATCTTGACAGCAAGCACCTGCCGAGTAATCTTCTTGGCCCAGAGGCAGTTTTAATTGTGTCAATGATTAATTAAACCATTTCAGAAAATTTACTAAAGAACAGAAACTCTTAAGTGAGATAGAGCTTAACGTGGTTAGGAACAAGTTAGACCTCTGAGAGAGACAGAAGCCATCCAGAGTCACCCTCAGATATTTAGTTTTCATGGTTCCAGATATCGTTCCATGTTGCTCTTGACATGTTGTACACCCTTTATGCACACTTAAGAGTGATAAAGCTTTATGAGGGTCAGGCAATTTATGTAGCTGTGGAGGTAAACTTTGTTTTTGTTTTGAGACAGGGTCTCACTGCATAGCCATGCTGACCTGGAATTCACTCTGTAGATCAGGATGGCCTTGAACTCAGAGACCCACTTCCCTCTGCCTCCCCAGTGCTGAGACTAAAGGAATGCACCACCACACTCTGGCAACTAAAGGCAGCACTGACGTCCTGAGTTTGATCCCCAAGACCTGGATGGTGGAGAGTAGCAACTCCTTTAAGCTTTCCTGACTTTCATATATACAATGTGGCATGTGCACACACACAAAATGAAATGAATTAAAAAAAAAAAAAAAAGGCATTGAGCCAGGTGCAATAACACACACCTGTAATGTCCCAGTGCTCAGGGAGGCAGAGGCAGGTGAATCGATGTGAGTTTGAGGCCAGCGTGGTCTACAAAGCAAGTCCAGGACAGCCAAGACTACGCAGAAAAACCCTGCCTCAAAACCTCCCCCATGGCCCAAAAAAGCATCCTTCGAAATGTTCCAAGGAGAAACATATGAATGAACCCCATAACAAAAAGTCCAAGAAATCAAAGAAACTGAGATTGAGGTTTTTGATGACTGATAAACAGAGAACTAAATGATATATTGAGGTCTCATATTAATATTCTGTGAATTCAGCAAATCACGTGAAGAAAGATAGTATGAAAACTATACTTTTTCCAAAGATTTATGGTCTGTACTTTGGGACTAACAGAATTATAACATATGGATATGAATGTGGTGTAGAATATTCTAGCTTCAAAGATAATAATAATAACGACAGATTTCTTTAATCTTTAAATTTTTAAAAAATATTTATTTTTATGTGTATGAGTTCTCTATCTGCATGTACACCTGCATGCCAGAAGAGGGCATCAGATCCCAGTTGTGAGCCAACATGTGTTTGCTGTGAACTGAACTCAGGGCCTTTGGAAGACCACAATGCTCTTAACCACTGAGCCATCTCTCCAGCCCAATTTTTAAATTTTTATTTATGCGTATGGTGTTTTGTCTGCATGTATGAATGTGCACCACATGTGTGCTTGGTACTTGCAGAAACCAGGAGGTGTCGTTTCATGGAACTAGAGATGGTTGTGGCAGCTATGAGTGTTGGAAATCAAATCCCGGCTCCTCTGGAAGAACAAAAGGCACTCTGGAAATGTGAGCCATCTCTCTAGCCAAGACAAAAGTATTTTTCAAAGCCAGCTATCAGATAAAAACACAGAACATCCATCACCAATATCTGAAGAAGAAATTAAGACCATTTTATTTTATTTTATATTTTATTTTATTTTATTATTTTTGAGACAGGGTTTCTCTGTGTAGCCTTGGCTGTCCTGGACTTGCTTTGTAGTCCAGACTGGCCTCAAACTCACAGAGATCCACCTGCCTCTGCTTCCCTGAGTGCTGAGATTACAAGTGTATGCCAGCATCCCAGGAACCATTTTTTAAGAGCTCAGCAACTACTAAACCAATCCACACTTGCTAAATGTACATCAGAACCTTACATTTGCTCTCTACATATGCAGACAGAAGAAAAGTGGAAGATACTTCAAATTTTTAAAAAGAAAGCATACAATTTTCCACCTGCCCTTTGGCTAGTTACCTGTCACTAAGACATTTCCTATTAGGCTCAGCCTTTTGGTTTTTTACTACAAAACAAAACAAAACAAAACAAAACAAAACAAAACAAAAGACTCATGGCTCTAAATGCCCCAACAAGTTTGGGATGCTCAGGGGTACAATGTACAACACACACACGCGCGCGCGCGCACATACAGGCACACACACACACACTTCAGCAGAAAACCACTTCAGCAAGAATCATGTAGCTCAGGTAACAAAAACAACTTAAGTAATGCATAAACGAGGCCATTGTTAAGGGCCTCTCCTGTGGGTGACCTAAAGTCTGAGACTGTTTACTTTGGAGAAAAGAGAATTGAAAAGACCTCAAAGGCTGGCTGTATTTGGAACGATAGATTGTGCCTCTGAATTCCATATGGTGAAACAGAGAACAGAGGTACAGAAGTTTCCAAGACAGGTGCCATCTAACGCAAGGCAGAAAAGCTGTGTAATAATAAAGTTGCTGGCCCCCAGCCTAGAGGCTGTAGGAAGGTAAGACCTGCCAGCAAATCAGCCACCAATCATAGCTACATTTTAAAGACATCAACTACTTTATTACATGTTGTAAATGTCTTGTTTTTAATTAGATGGTTCCAGTTTAAGAAAAAGATGGTTGATTATATCATCGTGGTGACAAGTCTGTCTCAGAGAGGATGGAACTGAGACTTCTGAGAGCCTGCGGATATTCCTCCTCACTCTGCGTATTGAAACTGAAAATGCCTATGTGCTCACTCAAATGAAGTCTTCTTCACCTGAGAAGAGTCTAGAACAAGGCCTAGATAAAACCAGCACAGCACTGGGGCCAGCTGTACTTACCTGGTGCCATCGGTCTCATATAGAGGACAAGGACATTTCTTAAATGGTTTACTATAAAGATGTCCTCCTTCACTATGATCTGTGCCACCATGTGACCACCAGGAAAGAGGGGTAGCTTCTTACAGTTTCCAAGAGGAGGAACCCACCAAAATATGCAAGTCACATGCGGAGAGCACCAGAGTTTGTCAGAAAGCAGAGCGGGGCAGGGAAAGCAAGAGGCCAGGCCTTTATTATTGGCTCCAGGGAAAGGCAAACCAGAACAAGAAGCTGGCTTGAACTGGCTACTCTGGATAATTTCAGAAACTCTGAGATACAGTCACTAGTTAACACATGGCCGTAGGGTGTATAGAAGAGCAAGACAGAGCAGGTGGTTTCAAGTGCAGGCTCAGAAATATTTGGCTTGCATATGAAAGGCTCAAGAATTAGCTCACCCTGGGTAGAGCCAGCAAGGACCCATTTAACACGAAACTAAGACTACAGGGACCCTGTGCCAAGGCACTAGGATGGAGACCTAGTCTAATGACAGAACTAGCAATAATGCTTTAAGAACATTCTTCCATTTTCATTCAGTTTTTATATTCTCCTATAAAATTAACCATCGCTTCTTATTAAACATGGTATGTCAAGAGTTTAAGAAAGCTAAATGCTAACAACATGTATGTATTTTAAGACAGAGGTATTGTCTCTAAAAAAATTGTAGTCCCAAGCTGGGTAGTGGTGGCATACACCTTTAGTCCCAGCTTTCAGGAGGCAGAAGCAGGTGGATGGATCTCTGGGTTCGAGGACAGTCTGGTCTAGAGAGTAAGCTCCCAGACAGCCAGGACAACACAGAGAAACCTTGTCTTAAAAAACAAAACAAAACAAAACAAAAAAAAAAAACAAAACAACAAAAAAAAAAAAAAAAAAAAAAAAACAATAGTCCTGCACCTATAGCTCAAGCATTACAGAAAGACTCTAAGAGTCAGAGGTCAGGGAGTTTGCTTGAGGTTGTGTTTCTTAGTGACATCAAAAGCTACACCCATAAAGTCTCATCAACATGACCGCGCAAGTGTGAGTTGAACAAAGATGACACCAATAAATATGCCAAACTGGACAGACAAGACCATGAGTCCTCAACCTTATACAAAACTACAGACACTGAGGAAAGCTGAGAGCAGGAGAGGTGGTCTTCCCCAGGGATAAATGTACATACTAGTTGGCCAGTGCCATATGGTCATCTCTAAAATCATACATACAAGTGGCATTACATATACTGTACAGATTATATTTAGAAATATACATATACATATATTCAGGCAATAACAACTGGTGAAAAATAAGGCCATGAATTCGAAGGAGAACAAGGAGGGGTTTATGGGAGGACTTAGAGAAAAGAAAAAGAAGTGAGAAATGTTGTAAATTATAATTTAAAAATTTTGAAAATGGAAGCACTGCTAAACTGTTTAGCACAATCTCAAAGATTCTTGGGCCCAAGCACTCTCCTTTCTCCCAAGGAGCTGGGACAAGAGCTGAGACTCACTGTCCCTGCCAGAACATAGATTTTCAAGACTTTAGCATTTGCTGTTAGTAATATAGGCTTTATTTGTTTCGACTGGGTTCAGTTTGTGTCACTTTAAGAAAATATATGTTGGGGCTGGACAGATGGCTCAGCAGTTAAGGGCACTGAACACTTTTCCAGAGGACCTGGGTTCAAATCCCAGCACCCACATGGCAGTTCACAACTGTAACTCTAAGATCTGACACCCTCACAGAGACATACATGCAGGCAAAACAACAATGCACATAAAATAAAGGTAAATAAATAAAAAAAGAAAATATGTCACGAATGAAAATATTTTAGAATGTTTTTTTTTTAAATTCTACCTTAATTGTACAATTAGAACAACTGCCTTCAATTGAAGTGAACTGAACTATTTATGAAATATTCCATTTACGTTTTTGGGGAAGGAGAGATGCTTAACTAAAAAGCCCAGAGTGTTGTTAAACTTGGGGGGGGTGGGGTTTCTGCCTCTGTAGTCCAAGTGTTGGGGTTACAAGCATACACCGTTAGCATTCTCAGCAAGCTACACTCACTAGAGGAACTGAAAGCTTTGTTATACTAACAGTTAAGAAATTTAAGAGGCAAATTACACAGCAGTTAAAACAGAAAAATTAAAAATATTAAATGCTAAATCAACATACCTTTTGTAGACTTGTTGGATTCAACTGAGTTTTGTCAATTATTTTTATTGCAACCTAGAAAAAAAAAGTATTTAGAGATTTTCAGAACTTGCTAATTATAGACTAACCAGTAACAGTTTTATAAAATCCCACACATATGGCATTGTTAAAAAGCAATTAAAAAAGCAAATCTCAGCTGGCTATGAGAAAGCAATTAGAACTTCATAAGACTATAATACATTATTAGGAACAGAAATCTCATGCAAATGATAATCATAACTTTTTTTATATTTGCTATGTACAGAGAGGAAGGAAAAATTATTCTACCCTTCCCTCAAAATATTACAGAATGAATGCACTTCAAAGAGTGTATGCAGGGTAACAAGTCTCTTCACTTTGGGCTGGCAGGGCTGCCAGACAGTCTCGCCTGTGCTGGGTGAGGGCTCTGCTACTCATCTTTCTCCCCCACTGCTACTTTGCTATTTACTGAAACTAATTTCAGCAGACTGTGGAATCCCAGGGGAGAAACCTGAAAAAAATATTCAGCCTAAAGTACCCGATAGGGTGTCTTGCACAGATTATCCTAAGTACTGAAGTAAGTTGTGCTGAATCTGAAAATGTCTAACAACAACAAGAAAGCCACCCTGACAGGCCTGCTAGGATGCATGCATCTGTCCTTCTGGCACCAAGGAGACCAGTCTGAGTAACACATCAGAAACCTGCTTCAGAGCACAGTAGAAAGTTCCTGAGAAATCTGTGGGCTAACTATGCAAAATATAAACAGAAGAAATAAATGTGTCACCTGGCAACCTTTTGTTCAGGAAAAGGATACCTGCAAATAGTATTTAAGGGGGGGGGGAAGGCACCAGAACAGATGGAAAAACTATGGCTTCTATTAATATGTACGCCTTACTTAAAAGGGAAGGGGGAGCTTTCATTAATATTTAGTAAACAGATGAATGAGTATCCCCACGCAGTAAGCTTATCGCTTCTTACAGTAAGATGTCTGGGAGTACAGTACGGTGGTAAGAGCATGTACAAGACCTTGGGCTTGATCTCCAGCAACAAAAAAGGAAGAGATGAAGAATTAAAAAAAAAAAAAAAAAGTTACAGGTTTATGTGTGTCAAGTGTTGAGAAGTTGGAGGGGCCTTAAATCATACTCTGTGACTTAAGGTACAGATCAGTGGCAGACCGCCCTGTAAGATGCAGGACAAGCCCACTTCCCACTGTGCATCCTGTAGAACTGAGATCCAGTAAACCCACTAAAGAAAACATATGCAGCCAAGGCTTGGAGACTCTCCATGCCAATGGTTCTCATATGTCTTGGTACATTTACAACCTTAAGGATTACTGGTGACCCTAGGATCTGTCAATATTTATTACATCATAAATCAAACAAAAACATTATAAAAATAAGTACCTACCCATTCATTACAAAATAACAATAAACCTACTATGTTGCTATAACATATTCAATAAAATTATTTTTGTTTTAAGGCAAGGTCTCACTATGTAGCTTTGGGTAGCCGATAACTCACTACGTAGACCATGCTAGCTTTAATTCATAAAGATCTGCTTGCCTCTGCTCCTGAGTATTGGGATTAAAGGTGTGCACCAGCTTCTGGATTATACTTCACCTGTTGTGATACATGTTATAACTTGGCCTAGGAAAGTCCTACTTTCCATTTGAATAAAAATGAAAAAAAAAGTAAATGTTTTAATAGTATTAATACAAAAATTGTTTTTTTAAGATTTATTTTTGGGCCAGGTATAGTGGTACATGCCTTTAATCCCAGCATTCGGGAGGCAGAGGCAGCAAGAAGCTGAGGCGGAGCTCTGTGAGTTTAAGGCTAGCCTGTTCTACAGAGAAAATTCCAGGACAGCCAAGGTTAAAAACAGAAACCCTGTATGAAAATTTTTTTGTTTTGTTTTGTTTTGCCAATCCCAGCATTCAGGAGGCAGAAGCCAGTGAATCTCTGAATTCTAGGCCTGATAGATCTACACAGAGAACATGCCAAGGTTACACAGAGAAACCCTGTCTTCAAACTCAAACAAGAAAATTTATTTATTTATTTGCCTATTTATTAATTATGCGCACACATGTGTGCCACAGATAACTGAAGTCAACTCTCTCTTTCCACTCTGTGGGCTGCAGGGATTAAATTCAGATCATCTGATGAGGCTAAACAGTAGGAACCTTTACTCACTGAGAGCCATCTTGCCATTCCAACACTATAATATTTTTTAAAACTATTTAACAGCCTAAAACCTTCACCTGCTCAAATTACTGATTTTCTGTGTACCTAATGGCCTTTGGGAGCAAGAAAGCAAAGACACTGTAAAAGTGATTCTGACTCCAGGGTGAAGACTGTCCCATCCACTTCAAGGCAACTTGGAACTGAGAAAACTGTGGAGAATATGTGTGCATGCACTCATAAAAACAAACAAAAAAGTAAAGTCACTGGCCATGGTGGTATATGCCTATAATCCCAGAACTCAGGGGATCAGAGGCAGGGGGAATCTCTGTGAGTTTAAGGCCAGTCTGGTCTACAAAGTGAGTCCAGGACAGCCCAGGCTCCACAGAGAAACCCTGTCTTTAAAAACCAACCAAATGGGGCTGGAGAGATGGCTCAGAGGTTAAGAGCACTGGCTGTTCTTCCAAAGGTCCTGAGTTCAATTCCCAGCAACCATGTGGTGGCTCACAACAATCTATAATGAGATCTGGTGCCCTCTTCTGGAGTGCAGGTGTACATGCAGGCAGAACACTGTATACATAATACAGCTTCACTAAGTTATTTAAGTCATCAAAGCTGCTGTGAATGAAAGATAATCACTTAACATATATACACAGCAATGAATCCTGAGGAGGGAGTTCTTTTCCTCCACACTAGACTGACTCAATCACCACATTAACTTTGGTTCACAACGGAATCTGAAGAGTTGAGACAGAGGTAAAAACTTGAGAACACCAATAAAGGGTAACTGTGGGCATTATCATTGTGGAATATCAGAAAGGTGAAGGCTAAAGAGATTACCACTTATTCTCAAGGTTGTCACTGGGCGGGGAAAGAGGACAGTGAACAGCATGTTCACTGTCACATGCTGTATGAAGTTCTGGGAAATTTTATTTGCCAGAAGCAAATTTGCCAGAAACAAAGTGGAAAGTTTGGAAATGGAAATAAAGAGGCTCATGCAGGAGAACAGGCCCCCTAGAAAAAGAATGTTTATTTTATACCCTCTAATCAAAAGATCCTAACACTCTGACCCTGAAAGGTGTAAAGCACCCATAACCATTGAAAGAGCTGTCAGAGTGTACAGTGGTCTCGGAGGGCCTGAGGTCAATCAATTCCCAGCAACCAACTTGAGAAGCTGGCAACCACCTGCAATTCTGGCTGTAGAGAAATCCAATGTTTCTGGCCTTCCTGGGCACATATACTCATTAGCACAAAACTAAACAGACTGTACACACACATATAATAAAAAAATAAAACTTTTTTAATAAAAAAGAACTCTAAATCCCTTAAGCCAGAATATTAGTCTGCTGAAGTTTCCATAATAAACACCACAGTCTGGCAGCTTAAACAACAGAAATAGATTTCTTCTGTTTTAGAGGATGATAGTTCAAAAATCAAAGTTCCGTGCAGTTGCCTTTTATTGTTTCTTCACATAGTAGACAGAAATGATTCTGTTGTCTCTTTCTACAAAAACACAAACATTACTGATACACAGGGTCTATGAAGAAGACCCTATACAAAGAGTCACACTATCGTCCAGGACTTCAACAAGTCAGTTTGAGGACATGCCTTTCAGTCCACGGTGGATGCAAGCCGAGGACAGTAATTGGTTACAAAATAAAACTTCAGGGGCTTAAGAGTTGGCTAAGCCGAGGTTCAGTTCCCAACACCTACATGATGGCTCACAACCATCCATAACTCCAAGTCCAGAGGATCCAACCCCAATGACCTCTGTGTGCAACACGAACATAAATGGTGCACATACATACACGCAGGTTAAACAGCAATAATACACATACAGGAAAAAAAAAAACCCAAAAAAAAAAAAAGATTTCTAATTACAACTTTTTTGGTTTTGGGTTTTTCAAGACAGGGTTTCTCTGTGTAGACTTTGCTGTCCTAGAACTCAGAGATCCACCTGCCTCTGACTCCCAAGGGCTGGGATTAAAGGTGTGCATCACCACCAACTGACTCTAATTACAATTTAATAAAATATAACAGCATTCAAGAATGTCTGTCTGTCTGTCTGTCTGTCTGTCTCTCTCTCTCTCTCTCTCACACACACACAGCTGGGTATGGTGGCACTTTAATCCTTTAATCCCAACACATTACAGTCAGATCCCTGAGTTTGAGGCTAGCCTGGTATACAGAGAGAGTTCCAGAAGAGCCAGAGCTACAGAGAAACCCTGACTGAGAAAAAAAGGAAAGAAGAAAAAAAGAAAAACAATATACAGTAAATATACAATAAATGATTCCAAGAGTATTTATATATAAAAACAGACATTTCACTAGCTTAAGTAAACAGCAACTCTAAAAGCCCTGTAGATAATCCCTAAAAGTAGAAAAGTCGCAAGCACACAAGCACACTATTTCGGATAAAGTAACAACAAGATGGCTGTGGCGTCTTGCTGACTGAGATGCTATCTAAAACTGTGGTGCAGCCCCTTCTGGTGCTCAAACTAGACACTTCACAGAGAAGATTTGAGCACAATTACTAAATGCAAAGTTTTCCTGTAGCCGTAGTGTGGCTGGTTAATAACTGTGTGTTGATCATATGCAGCTCTCTTCTCTGACCTAATATAGGTCAAATGAACATCCCTCAAAGCTCAAGCTGGCCTTTAACCAGTGATCCTCCTTCCTAAGCCTCCCAAGTCATGGCTTATTTTATGCGAGTGCCTCTTCACGGCATTTGGAGCTATATATTGCTGATCAATGTTGAACAGACAGACCAGAGCCAATTCAAGCCATGACTACACGGTGAAACTCTTGTTAACTACGTATTTCTCAAAATAAATAAATAAATAAATAAATAAATAAATAAATAAATAAATAAATAAATA